CCCCCCCCCCCCCCCCCCCCGCCCGAAGAATTGAAATGTTCAGATTCCTTGTGCAGTTTCTCATTATATATTTGAAAAAAAAGTAAATCTACTAGGATTAATAGAATATCAAACTAAGTAAAATTTTCAAATCCACCTCCTTGCAAAAAATAGTATGGAGTAATATTAAACAACAAACCCAGCATAATCCTAACTTCATTGGGGTCAACATGTATGTAACCTTACTCCTGTAAAAAGACAAAAATGTTTCCTTAGACCCTTGATGCATTGCTGCATTTACATCCCAAAACTTAATATTTCCTCCGTCTGACAAAAAGGTTCCACAATGGAATCAACGCGGCTATTCAAAATGGCAATATTGTGTGGTAAAAAGTGCTCCAAACGAGAGAAATAATAAGAGCCACATTAATATTTTGTTAACTAGAAAGTGCAACCTTTTTAGGAGGGGAAAATGGAAATGCGGACCTTTTTATGGGACAAAGGGAGTTGAAATTAAGAAGTTTAATATTTTGTTAACTAGTCAAGTTTAATATGCCATTGTTAACTGGACAACGCAGGCAGATGTTGACAATAGTGGTACCATTGACTACGGAGAGTTCGTAGCAGCCATGCTCAATATGAACAAGGTCTTAAAAGAGGATCACCTGTACGCTGCATTCGCGTATTTTGACAAAGATGGAAGTGGGTACATCACACATGACGAGCTCCAACAAGCTTGTGACAAGTTTGGTTTGACTGATGTCCGCATTGAAGAAATCATACATGAAGTTGATCAAGACAATGTATGTATATATGTGTGTGTGTGTGTGTGTGTTCTTTCTTGCTCTTATAATATCGATATAATATGCATTTATTCGTAACGTTTTAATCTCTACTGTCTCTTTTTTCTTCAGGATGGACGCATAGACTATAACGAGTTTGTAGCTATGATGCAAGATAGGGCTTTGGGTTGATGGGATTGCAAGTCTGTAGTGTAAAACAATGCGGGTTAGCTAGCTAGCTAGGATAAAAACTTGCCCTCAAGATTTTTGACATTTTTGGTTTATTTATAAATGGCATTTGATGGAAGTGAATGGCAGGTTATTTTTCACTGCTGGTCTGCAAGATAAGAGATTAGGCTAGCCAGTAACTTCTGATGGTAGAATTTTGTTCTTTTAGTGTTCCTAGTTTTGTAAGTGGAATTCATGTTTATTTGAATGTTTATATGAAAGTACATGCATGAAGTATAGCCAAAAGCCTTTTCATTGTTTTTTTTAACATTGAGTGTCGTTTTGTTCGATCGCTTTTCAAAATTTTTGACCCCAAAGTCAATTGAAGAGATGGATTCGAGTCGAGGACGGGTGATGGATTTACCAGGAGTTTAGGGGAATTTGCAAATGCAACACAACTAAAATGGCTAAGTATCATCTGTTGATACTGGATGCAGTTTGAATACAACTACTATAATGTCAATTATCATTTTAATATGAAATATCGAGATCTGATTAGATGTCTGCTAATTAAAAATTGATCTTGAACTTTAAACATTCAAATGTACAGAAGCAGATGACTTGCAGGATGTTACATCACATGTGTAGTAGCAACTCACTCATCTACAATTTGAATTTAGACTTTGTCTTATGGAACATACCGTAGTACAACATAGTGCAAATTCCCGCACAAGTACTCTGGTTTGTGTCAAAGAATAGAAAAATAGAGCACAAAACTCTAAATGCCTAAATTCAAACTTCTCTTACTAATATAGGTTTCTACTTTGTCAAATTTCTAGTATATAGCTTTAAATTTACCAGTATGAATAGCAGAAAAACAATTAATAATATCCTCATTTGATAATTTTTTTTTTGCAAAATGCATTTTGTAATAAGCACATGAAAGACTCGAGTATCTTACATGAATATAGCAATTACGTAGTATATTTCTACCAGTTTTGACACACAAAATGTCATATTTTTCGTCTAATGTAAAAAAAAAGAATTGGAAGGACTCCATCTGGCCTAAATTAATAATATTCTTTATTTTCTTTCTGTTGGAATTTTTAGTTTAAACTGGATATTTTCGGACATAAATTCGGTAGGTTCCACAAAATTATTTTCCGAAATAATTATACACGATTAATCTCGTAAGTGAGATGAGTGTTTTGACATATTATACGCCAAAAATGGTACTCGGGTAAATGAGAAATGAATTCACGAAGTTGAACACATGGGAAGAGTAAAGCCCTTGTGCCACACCGGAACTTGAACCTTTCGTATTCTCATATTTAAACATAGGCCTTTTATTGGATTTATGAAAGAAACAAGAAAGGACCCCTCACGCGCCGCCGTCACTGTCTGGTCGGGTCGGCACGACCCACGCACGCGTTGGGGCGGGGCGAGGCACGTCCGAGCCCTTGCCCGCGCCCCGCGCTTGCGACGTGGCGTGGGTAATGTCCCCCGGTCCACTTGAAGAGCCAACTTCCCTCTATTAAAGGAGTTATAGGAGGGCTTGGCTGCAGGGAAGAGCACTCTCGAAAAATCTCACAGAAATTCGAATACTATTCCCACAGTCCCACACTATAAGTATCTCAAAAATACAGCGGCAAAAATACTATCCCCACACTATAAGTATCTCAATGTGTTGGGGTGTCTCGCGAAAGTACTTGCACCACCACCAAAGAAGATGAAGACCGGTCTAAATAGAGTTGATGGAATCTTTATTGGGTACAATATTAGTACGTCATACCGGTTCTTCGTGTACAAATTAGAACTATTGCAAAAATACAGCGGGAATAAAAAAAATAATCTGAACTTATAAAACGTTTAGATTTTACAAAGGAAATAAAATAAAGAAAGTAGGAATCTTCGAGTTCTGCCCGTTCCGATCCGTTCGAGCTTCCCGAAGATTTCTACTTTCTTTATTTTATTTCCGTTGTAAAATCCGAATGTTTTATATGTTTGGATTATTTTTTTATTCCTACTGTATTTTTGCAACACTTTATAGGGTTATCTCAAATTTATCTTGCTCTTTCCTTTTTTGAAATGTTTTTTGTTGCTTAGTTTTTTTCTCACCTCTGCATTACTATCAATCATACAATCCTGTTTTTCTTAAACAAGAGAACATGTATGTATAGTATAGGTGCCAAATGAAACACCCTACAGTGGAGTAGGGGTGGGGTACAGCAAAACCTAAAAGAAGAAAAGCCCCATCCATCCATCCATCCATCCATATATCTGCCAGGAAAAGCTACTTGCAGAAACCACATGCAATATACGGAGTATATCATATATCCATCCCATCTGCGCGCTTCAATATATATACGGAGTATATAAATATTTCTTGCAGGGGAGAAGAAGAAGAAGAAGAAGAATGAGGAGGAGGAGATCAGGAAAGGTGGAGATGAAGACGAGGATAGATAGAGGAGGGAGGTGTACGTACGTGTTTCTCCAAGCGCAAAGCGGGCCTCATCAACAAGGCCCATCACCTCTCCCTTCTCTGCGATGCCCAAATTGCCCTCATCATCGATCTTCTCCCCCTCCGCCAAACTCTACCACTACTCCTCTCCCCATCTCAGGTACGTAGTTAGTTTCACCCTTCTTTCACTCCTCCCCTTTCATTACTATTATTATTATTATTTGGCAAACCCTAGCCTGTCTCAAAATTCCCTTCTAAGATTATTGGACTTTTCTTTTTTAAATTTTACTATTCATTTTCTTTGCCTATTTTGGTTGCTCATTTGAGAAAAAATAATAAACTAATGTCTTCTCTAATTTTATAAATCTTTTAATATATTTGTAAAGTATAAAATTTTTATTCAAAAAATTTTCATACCTATATAAGATAAACAAAAAAATGATTTCTCTCAAATATTATTGTAGTGCACAATATTTTTTAAAAATTCCCTTCTTAAAATTCCCTAAAATACTCCGTCCGGGAGAAATGAATAAGTTGCATGTTCCCAATATTTCTTTTCTTCTAAACAAATTTTGTTTACTACGGAGTAAATTTTAATTTTTCAACAATTTTCATACATTTTTTGAAGCCAAATCAAAACTTTTACTTAGATAAGGAGAGAGCAAAATTTTAACGAACATTTATATAATTTGCTTCTGTAAAAAAAACTCGGCGGTGCTTCATTTTTTGGGACACTTAGGTTGCATTCTAGAAAGTAGAAACGCTTGAATAAGACATGCGAATAAAAAACAATAAAAATATGATACTCCGTAAAAGATAAGGGACAAGTATACCAAAATGGGGTATCCCATTTGTACATCAGACAAACACATACATTTAGCTTCCGTTTGGCATCAGCGTTAGAGATTAGCGTTAGCATTTTGAAAAAGCTATTCGACAGTAGCCTTTAGCGTTAGCGTTTTTAGAATGAATCTGCACCATTAAAATTTTATCCAAAATGCTAATGCTAATCGAAACCGCTGTTACCAAACAAAGCCTTAGTGTTTATGATCTACATACACTAAGTTTCTGTGTTTATTTGTGTTTGCCTAATGTACAAATGAGATATCCCACTTTTAATGTACCCTAGGTTTATTCAAAAGATAATTCATACTCCGTAGTCCGTATTATGTAAACCCTCCATTTTAGAGATCCATTTTGATTTTTTCCATCATATCCGATGGAGCCAAAATTTCACCATTTTTGGCTTTGGGGTGTGATGGAATAAATAAAAATGGATCTCTAAACTGTCTGCGCTTCTTTAATTAATGAAGTAGCGGTTAGTCAAGCAATGCAACTTTCGACATTGAGCCGGGGGTCTCTTTGGAAACAGCCTCTCTACTTTCGAGTAGGGGTAAGGTCTGTGTACACACACCCTCCCCAGACCCTACTCTTGTGGGATTTAACTGGGTTGTTGTTGTTGTTGTTGTTGCTGTTTCCTCCATTCTAAAAAAAACTTCTCTTTCATTTTATATTCGTCCCAATTTTTTTTGGTCTTAAATGGGCATAAATATCCCTATTTTTTTTTAAAAAAAATGATCTAAGCTACCCTATCCAACCCTCTTTTACATTTTATTGTATATGCATTTTAACTTTTATTTCGAGAATAAGCACATGAAATTTTTATTTTGGTATATTTTTAATGTTTTACTACTTCTATTTTATTCTTTTTTCCTTATTATTACTAATTTACTACGGAGTATTAATTGGGGAAAAAAAACTAAAGTAGAAATAAACATTGAAAATATACCAAAATAAGAGTTTCATATTTTTATTTTCGAAATACGAGTTAAAATACATTTACATTACTACTCATGACCATGTACATTACCAAAGAATATAATAAAATGCACATGTACAGTGTCATATTACCACAACACAGACTTCTATTTAGTAAATAAAAATATGGAACTCTTATATTTATATTTTTTCTATATTTTACTCTTATTCAAGGTGATTTCTTTATTAATTATTGTCTATGCTAAGCTAATCTGAGTTATGTTGCTTAGCTTCAAGTGGTGCAATTTTATTATTATCACATTTATCTTAATTGTTACACACAGCATGGAGGAGATGATTGCCAAGTATCTCAATGAAAAAGAAGGCTCAAGCTTGCCGAAGAATCACCCAGTAAGGGTATATATGTTTCTCACTAATTATTCCCTCATATATTTTCCTTCTCTTTTAAATTTTTTAAGTCCCCTAATACAATACATTCACTATTAATATCTCTAATCATACATATAGGATAAGGAGTATTTATTATAAAAATAAGATATTTTAAAATTAACTTAAAAAAAGAATATATTGACATTAATTTAATGTAGTCTTCCTGAATTTCGTACTAGGATACGGAGTATTTATTATAAAAATAAGATATTTTAAAATTAACTTAAAAAAGAATATATTGACATTAATTTAATGTAGTCTTCCTGAATTTCGTACTCAAAGGTTGTAAATTTTTACTAACTTCGTTCCTGAGAATTTGTCTAGTTTTGACTTTTATTCATTTAATCGTTTTTAAACTTTGACCTATAATAAAATATCATTTTTATTTTATTTGAAGTCAAAACTTACCAATTTTGAACAAATAAAGTTGAAAGTAGTCAAATACTCATGGAGAGAGAGAATAACATGGAATAACATTTATGATGGAATTAGTGAGAGAACAATGATTTAATTGTGTTAATCAACTGAATAAGAAGAACACA